TATTCACTTTTCTGATTATTTTTATTTTTTATATGTTATTTTTTCATTATTTCGCTAATTTCATTTCTGTCTTATGGCTACATTTTTTTGTTTTACAGTACATTATTTTCCTTTTCAAAGGTTTATATCTATGTTATTATTGGTACTACTACCATATCGTTGTTGCTTATACATATATTCAAGCTTTTACTGTATTATTACTACTATTATTATTATTATTATTATTTAATTAGTTACTGTATTTCTGTTCAAAAATCTGTTCCAGCCAAGTTTTTCATTTATTATTTTTTATATCTTAAAATTATCAAAAAATTTAATGATAATACATGTGCTTTTATTCGTAACTCTAAGAAACAATAAAAAAAGGATATTCAGCAAAAATGTAAAATGCTCTAAAATGACAGTTTTATTAGCTGATAATAAAATATTTGCAGTGTCGGAGAAATGGATTATAACTAGTATGTAAACATATTTTATATCACAAAGATATTAACAATAGTACTATAAAATCACTGCAAACGTTTTACAACTTCACAATCTGTTAACGGAAAATCATGTTTTACGTTGGAACTGCAAGTCAAGAATACGTAATGCTTTTTTTATTTGTTCTCATTTGTTTCAAGTTTACCATTGTAATTGGAAGTGCTGAAAGTAAGTCGTTGAATTCAATACAAAATGAAAAATTTTTATTGATAAATTTTGTAATGCATTCACTTATAAAGTATAGTTAACTTTTATTAATAGTAATTGGAAATGCTCAAAGTGAATCGTTGGGTTTAGTAGAAAACAGCAGATCTTTATTAATAAATTTTATAAAGTATTCACTTATTAAGGTCGACTTTTACTAATAAATGTATCAAAGTAAGTAAATGATAAGTTTGACAGCGTTTGATGATTTAATAGCTTGAAATAATTTCTTCGTTCAATTAATAAAGAGCGTAATTTTCTGAAATAAAAAATTTCTTCTGAACATTATTTTTTCTATAATATTAGTATTAATAGTAATGATTCGTATAATAGTAACAAAACTGATAAATACTTTTTGTTCTCTATTCATATGATAATATATTGAATATAACAAATTATTAAATTACAAGTTTGTTAATTAATTATGGATCACTTATCAGTCATATTGATCAAATTCATCATTGTTATGCAATTATTAATCAGTCAAACAATATAATCGAATCTTTGTTTGTCATTCAGTTAGAAAATGGTAATTGTTTAGGGTAAGTAAAAGCAATCATAAATTGCTTGAGTAAGTTATCAGTGATAATTGTTTAGATATGCTAACGAAACTGTTATCGAATAAGCATAAATTATTTTAAAGTAATATAAACTTTCGATAAAGCTAATAACGAAAAAAGGTCACAAAAGCTCAAATCTAATCTATAAAGTAAATAATATTTGGTATATACTCTCTATCAGTTATTTGGTATGAAACTTAATGTGAAGTATAAGAAATATTTTCTTGCAATGTCTAAAAATTATTACAAATAAAACTAAATCAAAACAAAATTGTACAAAAGAATGAGCCAAAATAAAATTGTAACAATTATAACAAATCATTTAATCAGGCAAATATTGAAATTAATTGAATTACTGATTTGTTAAAATAAAACTAATAATTATGTAGCGAAGACTTCGCAAAACTTTTGTTGGCAGTAACTCATAAAACAAACCTTTTATTCTAAAAGTTAATTAAAATATGTTTTATAATTATATAATTAACATTTTTATCTTCAGCAAATATACCCAAAGCGTTTATTGCTTTTTCCCTTATTAAAATTGCAAAGAATACTTAGAAATCATATACTTAAATTAAAAGATACTTTTAAAAATCTTTCTTGCAACTGCAACTAGAAGTGTTGATCAGAAACATTCAATCTGATCAGATTGAATATTTCCGATCAACATTTCAAGATTACCTTCGTAATGTCTAGAATTTAAATATCTTTCCAAAGATTCCATTTTCGGAGAAAAAAAAAGAACAAACTATATCCCTAAACTTCTACCATGTGTCAACTAAGCATAACCCACGCCATACGTATTTAGGTAACTTCATTTTACATAAAATTAACTTTCATGCTAGATGAGTTCTTAAGTTCACCAAAACTCTGAACAGCTTATCAAGTTTTTCAAATTTATCAATTTCTCATGAATACAAAATAAATTTAAGGTTAACTGATCTCTTAATGGTACTTGCACGAATTAGTATTTTAGGAGAAATTTTCTAATACATAATATACTATACTTTATCAGATTAGACTTTTATAAGTTTAATAATTTTTTAATTAATTATATTCTATTGATTTTTTGTGATTTTTTGCAATTTTTCGAATAATTGGACTAATTAAAACTTTAATTTTTTTGAAATGCCTTATATTTGGATATTTTTATGTAGAAAAATGAAAACGTTTTGTTCAAACCACTTAGTTCCATCACAAGAATTAAATTATGCAATCCAAACAGATATCTAAAAATCACATCGAAAAATATTATTGTGTTTGAAAAATATTATTTTTTTTAATATCAAAAAATGATTGAAAATATATAACTTTTTCAAGAAAACATCAATAAATATTAATCTGTCAAAAAATATCTATCAAAAAATGTAAAATTTTTTGTCAAAAAAGTAACTAACATCAAAAAATAGAATTTTTTTTAATAACTCTTAGCAACACATTAAAAGTAATACAGAAGTTTTGCACAATTTTAAAATTTCAAATTAAAAACGTAAAAGCCATAACGAATTCAAATTTAATTTTGGGCTATGAATCAATTCGTTTGAATGAGTTGTCGTATTGCTGTATCCCTTAACAGTATAAAAAATAAATTTATAAAAATATTAGTAAAAGTTTTAATTTTTTATTATGAAAAATTACCAAAAGGGATATTTCATGAATTTGTGTGGACAATTCAAAGCCAGATGCGAAATTTTCATGTTCTGAAACAAAATACCTTTGCAACAATTCACTTTATTACGATCTGATGACCGAACAATGCCCCAAGACTTGTGATCGATGCTTTCCTTGTAAGTATTTGTTTTTAATCATCCATTAATATAACTGAGAAATGACCATCAAAGGTCATATAGGTTTGCGTGAAAATAAAAATATTAAATTCGGAAAAAATTGATTAAAATAATTTATTTCAGAAGTCAATGTCAACTTTAATAATTTCTTCTATCACGTTATCAAGCAGGTTTTGGAGTTATATCAATTTTAAAGTTTTCAAAACTGTTTTTAAAACAAAAGTAAATAATAAATTACTCAAATGTTATTGAAAACAAATATTTTCTTAAAGGTTAGATCCTAAAATTTTATGGTGCGGTTTTTTTGATGAACATATCAATGTACAGTTAAAATACCATGCTTGAATTAATAATATAATTAAGATTACAGAACCAAGTTTTAAGTAAAGCATTGGCTTTCTTTAATAAGTTGCATTATTGTGTAATATTTGATAAATGATACGAAAATAATAGTTAATTGATAATTGCATATCATTTTGTGAACTTTGTCATCCATTGATCAACTTATTAATTTTTAATGATTTTCATAAAAACAACAAATCTGTTTGAAATTAATTTCAGTTTGTGATGTCTACGGATCTTGTCCTACAAATTATCACTGCAACATGGCTAACAATATCTGTTATCCAAACAATTCAAATATCAGTGCTTATCACTATCCATCACTCTCCATTACATTTTTCTCGATCATATATGCATTCGTCAAATTAAATTTGTGATGACTTTATCAGTCCTTATCGTTGTACTTAATTATGATAACAAATACTTAAACAACTTCAAAATAGCGAATTCAATTACACGTTATGATTTTTTTTAAATAATTTAAAGCTGTTTTTAATTTGCTCAATGATTTCAACTTCAAATAATAGAATCAAAGAAAATTTATATTTTAAAGTGTTACAAAAATTCTATTTCAATATTTTGTTTTGTAAAATGAAATTAAATTAGTTAAATAGCAAAAAATTATTTGAAATGAAGTAAAATTCTTGTTTCGATGATAAATTCATGAAAATAGTTCCTCACACGAGAACAAATCTAGTCTGTATTTATGTTCTTAAGAATTAATATTTTGATCTAAATTAAATTAATTCATTATAAATGCTAAAAACTGTATCGCTTTAAAAATTATGTTTTATTTTTTTACAGTAATAGTAATAAAATGATGTACAATTATTATTTATCAAATTCTCGAAACGATGATTCCAGTGGTTGTCGTAAACGTACTTCAATCGTTGGAGCCAATAAAGAGATCAGATACGCTTGCGTCCTTCTAGAATAGTTTAAATATAAATATTTCTGATTAATTTAACTAAATTAAGTTCTAATTCATGTAGCAGTTGTAAATTCATTTAATTGAAAAACAAAAGTAGGAATGATTTAAACTAATTAAAGATTAACTTTTATTAGTATATGAACTTTTAATTTCAAAACATTAGTAATTAAAAAAGCAAATACGATATTGTCAATCAAAAAATTAATGTGTTTACTTTTATACATAGCATTGTAATTCAGAAATTCTCAATATAATATTACCAGTCGTTATTGATTGCTATATTAGAATTTGATATTTGTAAAATTTGAGTTAAAAAAAAATTCCTGACATTTATTAAAAAAGATAAAAATCAAATAATTAGAGGGCTAGGAACCATCTCTTTACGAATAAAAAAATAGTATTCGGGTTTAATTCAAGTGAAAAATTTTTTTTGAGAGGTAAAATTATTGAAAAATTAAATCTTAAATTCGAATTTAAGGTAAGCAAACCCGCTAGCAAGCATAACATTAGCAGAGGTCTGCGATAAGCTTTCCTCATCCAAGCTATTTTTGACAGAATGGCGTGATCGATTTTCCGTAGAACTCTGAGATGAAGCGCTACTGCCACGTGAAAGACGACTTATCACATTGTTATCAATGTAAGAATTAATATGAAGTACACCAACAGGATGAAGTGAACGCTTCGATACGCTGAATAACGGATTACCATTAAGATCACGTGATCGCAACTGTAAATTAAATTAAGCCAGATAAGATAAAATAAACAAATTACATCAATAAATGCAAAAACTTTAAATTGCAAATTTAAAATTTCAAAAATATTCTATTAAGCCGACCTATTATAAGCCTGTGAGGCCGAAAACAATATTACTGTATTATTAAAGCCAAAATAATGACTGTAATTTGCTGTATTTATAAATTTTACAAATGCAGAAATTAAAATTACTAAAAAACACTTTTTGTCACTAAAAATAATGAAAAATCAAATTAAACTTCTGATACGTTTAAATAATGAAATTTCGAAAAATAGAGCGAAATTTGAAAAAAATACAAAGTAAGTCAAATAATTAAATAAAAACAGCAAAATCTGGAGTAAACAAGTAAAGGATTAATTTAAAAATTACGTGGAAAGTAATCGTGGAAAGTATTTATAGCGGGTATCTGATATAAACAATTATATAAAAAATTTAAATAACGCCATTAGCACAGGAATTTAAGATATTCATTTTAAGAAGCTATCATCATTACGAATCTAAGAACAGTATGTATAATGCTCTCTTGCGTGAAATGCGTCAATAATCTACGTATTTTGGGCAATTTTTAATGTCAAATAAATTAAATCAACAAATACATCAAATCAAAAACTGGTAAACAAGATTGATTTAGAGACAAAAAAATCAAACTGACTTTCAGATTTATCTTGCCATCTGAAACCAAATTAGTATACAAAATATCTGCTTCACCAATTACATCTCCATTTGCTGCATTTCGAAGAGTGAAGTAAATAATTCTAAATTAATAACTCGTTACAATATGCAAACTTTTTGATCTTATATTAACACAAACAATATAATCATATTAGTTTTTTATAAAAAAATATTTTAAAAATGCCAAAAATAAATGATCTTCATATTTGATAATCATTATTTTAAGCATATTTTCCGAATATTATACATGATTTACATTCGTTCTCTACACATTTGTTATCCTATCATAACTATAATAATATCGTGATTAATAGTAAAAATATTACTATTATAAAAGTAATAATAAGCTATATATATATATTCAGTTCAGTAAGAAAAATGCGCAATAATAATGAAAGTACTGATAAATTGTTCTAAAATAATATTAAATAAAAATTATTATCACCAATAACAAAACAGTCATATCACAGTTGATAATTACTACCTATCCTCAAAGCCATCGGATAATAATTTGTCGCAAGATATTACGATCTCAGGAAATTTATGCAAACTCGTTGAAGTAATTTGCAATGTTGTTGGTGATCGATAAATGATAATATAATCATTTTTGTGTAAACATTTTCTGAAAACAATTAATTTAATCTTATCAAAAATTTTTTTAATTATTTAAGAAATTAACTTATATTAATGAAATAAATTGTAAAAATCAGAATTTTTAATGAGCAAATAAGGGAACTTTATAATTAAATTCAATAAAATTATCATAATTTAGAAAAATACTTTGCTGACAAGAAATAATTAAAATTGTAAAATACGAATTGTAATGCAATTAAAATCAGCGAATTTGTAATCCAAATTTGGCAGAATGAATGCAAAAAGAGATTATTGGTAGAGTTAATGCAAATTATCAAATCAAATATATTTATTGAATTATTAAGTTAAAATTTAATTAATATTATTTAATCATCGCCATTAATTCAATAAAAATTATTGCCATTATAATTATTACTTGTAAATAGTAAGGTAAGTTTCCAAATCAGTATGCTTCATTTTTCCTCTTTTTTCCAACTGTGAAATGGAAACTTCCATGCGAATTTGTTTTTCAGCAAAGCTACGATCAATTACTGCTCGTTCCGATATTACTAATTTGAAAAAATTTGAATTATTTTCTTACAAGAAGTACTTTCAAGTTAATCATTTTTAGTAATTAATTCAAAAATTAATTTTGAATTTTATTTATTCAGCAAATTGTTATTAGGATGTAGTGGAATATTCATAAATTATCAATGTGAAAACAAAACTAAGCCAAAATAATAAAAAATTTGAATTTAATAACGATCTAATATTATGTTTTACAGTTGTGTGATATAATGTGTGAAATTACATATATTATCTTTAACTTAAAAACTTGTCAATTTATTATTTATTTGTAAAATGTCGCTGTACAATTTAAAGAATTCACATAATTGGCTCTAGTAACTTATTTAGAAGTTTTTATGCTTATTTAGACTAATTAATTCTTTTTATAGTCATTAAGATAAAAATTGGTTGACAAAGTTTATGATCACAATTTGATATCAGATAATCTGATTTGACTTAAATGGTGCCATGATAATTTGCTATGAACTTATTAAATTCACTTTTATTATGATATATTAATATACTGTAATTTAATCGATATACCTGTGAATTTTCCAAGTGATCCTTCTCGGATTCTTTCATCTTCGTCTTCAGAAAAACGACCGCGGTGTACAACAGCATTTAAATCACATTCTAAACGATCTATGCAATTCCACGCTAATACTTCGTTAGAATTCCTAAAGCGTACAACGGTATCCGAATTCCGTCTAGAATCTAACGTACAGGAGGTGGACATTGATTTTTCGGCACACAATCTGTAAAAATTACATTGCTACCAAAACTGATCAATGTTAACTTTCCAATAACTGACTTTAATTTTTTTCTAAGATAATAAATTTTATAATACCTCATATTTAGCTCTTGTAGCATTCCTTCAGCACTTGATTTATCGAGTAATTTAAGTTTCAACTGAATTATAAAAATTAGTTAACCGCACTTTAACTAGTCGATATATGCATATAAATCAATTGATTTTAATCAATCAGATGAGCCGATCAATATATCAAAAATTAAATTCTATGAAATTATTATTTAAGAGAAATATTTTGCTTGCATTATATTATATACTGACTTTTTATTAATAATTACAAAACATATTATCAGGCAAAAGAATTATTATTACAACTAAAGAACAGTGAAAGTTACGTGATATCAAACGTATAATTCTCGCTTATTCTTTGAAATTAAAAAATCATAATTTTATAAGTAGGGAGAAATTTTATATCACTAATAGAGTAAGTTATGTTTGAAAAATCTAAAAGGTCAACAAGAGTTATAATTTTTATTTGACTAAACTTTTCAGTCGTAAATAATTATAAATTAAGCAACTATTATAAATTCAAATGATTATGTGCAAATTGTAGTAAAAAGTTATTAGAAAATATCCATTATACACTTAAATAGCCAAATTTTAAATAAGTGCTAATAAATTTTGCATAAATGTAAGTCGAAAAGGTCATGAGAATTTGAAGTTGCAAAAGAAAAGGAAACGGTATGCAAATTACTTCCAACAAAAAATAATTGATGAACGCTAATTTTTTTTGCTCTCATAAATTGAATAAAAAATATCTTTTTTAAATTATTTTCTTATAAAATTTTAATAAAATAAGCTTATTCAAATTTATTAATTATTTAACTTATTAAACTTGTTTGTTTTTTTTTAATTGAAAAAAAAACGCTTTTCAAATTATACTAAAAAAATACTTTTCAAATTATTCTTTCAGAAATGGAATAAATTCAAATTTACAAAATTAACCTTTGGCCGATTGGTACGAAATGGAATTTATAATGAACATTTGTTGATAATTTTAGCAATCATTCGAAATTTGGTCATTTTTCATTTGAAAATTTCAAAGTAATGCAGATTTATTTTTGAAAATAATTTTGCAAACAAAGTGATATGTGAAGTGAATTAAAGCAGAAAGATCAGTTTTGTAAGCAAAAAGTATTGCAATTCGAATATTCAGTATTTATTTTAGATTAAAATAATAGATAAAAAATTTTATTATTGCTTTTTACTTTCACATTTTTTATAATTTAAAAAATATTTGCATGTTTAAAATTCAAATGGCAGAAATTTTCAACAATTTTAATAAATATCAAAAAATTAAAAAAAAAAGAAATGTAATTATATTGTCAAATTTCGATAAAAACAACCAAAAAATGTATCACTCAGAGATGTGGTAATTCGTGAAAGCTTTAATGCTTTATTCATTCAATTTTGTCCAAAGTTAGTGGAAAAACTAGTTTTATTTGTGAGTAAATCGGCGAAAAACTTTAATGGTTCAGTAAGTATTGTGAGAATTGTGATTTTGTACTGTTTTTTTGATTTTTTAAAAATTACTTTTGAAAATTACAATAAATTTATTACTTTTAATAATATTTTGTTTAATTTCCAAGTTTTTTTGAATGGATTTATTTAATCATACAAAAACTTTTTTTGAAATTTTTATACGAAGGAAAAACACAAAAAATAAGAACGTAAATGATAACATGTGATAATTTGAATATTTTGATAATATTCTTTTGTTTGAAATTTTTTTTTTAGTTTTTACAGCCTTAATGCTTAGATAATATTTTTGCAATACGAGCAGTTAATGTACAAAAAAATGAATGAATTAAAATTTCAAATACAAAAATATTTACATATGTCTTTTAAAAAAATTTAAATCAAATTAATAAAATATTCACAAATTGCCATATTTTGTCTTAAAAGCATAAAATAGATGACTGTATTTCATGAAATTAACACAAAGTCACGGCAAAATCATACAAATACGTGAAAACCTTGTGAGGTGCTAATAAATTGAATTTGTGTCACAAAGATTTTTATCAATTCATTGCCTTTGAAAACGTGAGATTGATTTTAAGCTAACCTGTGATCACTACTTTTACAATAAAACTTTTTACTAGTATATAAAATAATTCAAAAACTCGAACAAGTTTTCATTCATAGAAACTGAAAACATTTTATTGAAACAATTTTTAATTAAAAAGAAAGACAAAAAAAACCAAAAAAAAATTCAGTCGAAAAATTTTACAAACTTTATTAAATCTAAAAGAATCACTAATCTAGTAAGCTATATTTATTCTTATCAGCAAGATATAAATATTTTGATAATGTTTGCTATCAGAGTTATATATGCTCAGTAATATAAGAGATAAGCCAAAAATCAAATTTTATTATACAAATATATTATTTCAGGCTTATCAAATTATTAAGAATATTTGTACTGTTTCATTTCAGAATAAATAATAGCAAAAGATACAACAAAATAACAAAACTACCTCATCTCACATGTTAAGACATTTTTTTAATACAACTTTTTTATATTAATTGATAAACATTAATAATATAGATAAATAAATATTAATTCATTTTTATAAAGTTATAATTATAATTCTCTAATATAAAAGGAATTATTGATAACTCACTTTCTACAATTATCAGTATTTATATTTGTTTAAATATGGAAAAACTTTGACTCAAATAGTTTCAACCATTTAAATAGCACGAAATTGGAACATTTTAAAAAATTACTCCGATACAGATTTTGAACTAAATTATGCTGATTGCTTCTACTACGTCAGAAGTCACGTTTTCTACGCCTGTTACTAAATTTTAAAATCTGAACATTTTACAAAAAAGGTTTATTTTTAAAAACAAAACAATGTTGACGTGATTGCTATTATAAACGGATTTACAATTTGTTAATCTTTACTTGTCAGCTTTTGATTTTTAACTAGAAAACTTAAAATAAGTAATTTTAATACAAAAATAATTTCAAATTTTAAAAATTAAATTTATTCATCTAAATAATATGCTAATTTTAAATATACAAAAAATCATAAAAATAAAAAAATTATTTAAAGAATTCTACAACAGAGTGATCACAACACATTTTATTTCGATTGATGCGTTACTAAGATTAACTTCCTGCCGAGGATGAATCACAGCTTTATCAGTTTTGATAGTTTTTCTTATCAAACAAATAAATTATCTTGCGAACAAATATAAACTTCAAACTATCATATCTATCAATGATATGCTCTAACTTGCATATTATATAAAATGATAATTTTAACGCGATACTGCGGTCGTTAATAATAATAATTAATAATACCAATACTACTACTAATAATAATAATAATACTTGTAATAATAATAATAGTAATAATAGTAAAAATAATAATAATAATAGTGATAATAATTGGTACTTATACAATATTGATAATATTATTCTTAAATTCAATAACCAAAACGAAAGATCCCTTGAATAATTGCTGTGTTGAACAATTTTTCACTTTTCAAATTCATAAAAGAGTTTTGAGATTTTTTTTTGAGACTCAAAAAAAATCTAATTTTGAATTTAATTATTGTAATGAAAATGTGAAAATTTATGAAGCAAAGAATTTACGACCTGACCTTTATTTCACATTTTACATTAATTCAATTCTAGCAATAATTACTCAGGCAATTTATTTGACAGAAAGTAAAATGTTAGAGGTCAAAGAAGGCTCAAAGTTACTAAAATAAAAAGTTTACGTCTAAAATCAATGAAAGTCCAAAGATTTATATCTTAAATATAAGTAAGTGTTCTTCAAATTCGCAAAGAAACTTTTGAGAAATGCAAAAGACTTCTTTGTGTTACTTACAAATGTCATATAAACTATTCATTCATAAATGATCTGATGCAAATTTGCATACTTTCTTTTTGAAGTTCAAATTCAATTGCAAAAGTTTTAGAATGCCTTCAAATTAAACGTTTGAGCAAATTTTAAATACTGACTTTACTGACTTGAATTCGGGACAACTTTTACAATAAATAAAAATAATTTTTGAAATAATTAAAATAATTTTTGAATTAATTAAAAATAAATATATTTAACAACCAAATTTTTTAAATTCTAATTATTATTTAGCTGTAAAAAAGGTATAATATCTGAGTAACAATTTTCAATCATAAAAGTCTCGGAGTATTAAATTATAATAAATATGTTTTCACGGTCTAAATATGTCAAGGTTAGATGCAAATTTCTTTTTAGCATTAAAAATTCTAATGCTTGTCGCATAAATTTATGGTAAAATGTAAAATCAGACTTAATTTTTTATGTAATATTTATTTACTTTTAATAAAAACTGAAGAGGTTCTTTAAAAGTTATTAATAAATACAGATGTCTGAATAAATACTTGAATAATTTATAATGAACGAATTTTTTTTCAAAAATAAATATGCAATTTTAATAAAAAAGTATACTAATCTTACAGTTCTATCTGTATAGTCATATCGTCTTCGTATATGTGAGTGATTGGTATTGAAGTAACGAATTCAAGAAGTTCAGCTCTTCGACCGCTGCTTTCTACATTTTCTGTAGTACCAAACTGATTACTATTACTTGCCAAGTGGTCAGTTTCATGTGGACATCCTTTCACAGCTATCCACTTACAGCGATAAAGTTTATTAAATGTTTTCTAAAATTAAACTCATCAAAAAAAATTTAACTTTCATAAAATATATTTAAAAATTTTAATTCCAAAAATGTTTAAAAAAAATATATTTCTTTTATAGAAATGTTTGATATTATCGCTCACAATTTTCGCTCTAAAATTAGCTGCAATTTTAACATCTATTGAAATTTTGACTTTAATATATTTTGACCTTAACTAATATAACCTGTAGTTATAACTAATTTTTCAGAGCTTAAACTTATACTATAAAATATTCGGTAATAAT